GCCATAACAAAGCGGGATTCCTTTCCACTTCCGCGGATTGATGCCACGTTAGACGCTATGAAAGGCGCATGTTGGTTTTCAACTTTAGACTTAGCATCTGGGTACTGGCAAGTAGAAGTGAGACCCCAGGACAGAAAAAAGACTGCATTTGTCGTACCAAATGGACTTTATGAATTTCAAGTGATGCCTTTTGGGCTAACTAATGCACCAGCCACCTTCCAACGATTGATGCAGACAGTTCTACATGGCCTCGTACCACATAAGTGCTTAATTTACCTTGACGATATCATTGTGTATGGCAGCACACCAGAACAGCATAATGAAAACTTGAGGGCAGTTCTACAACGTATTAAGCAACACAACTTGAAAGTGAAACCATCTAAATGTCGATTCTTGCAAAAAGAAGTACTCTTTCTGGGACATCGCATTACGAAAGAGGGAGTTGCAACAGATAAGGAAAAAATGAGCGCCATTATTAACTGGCCACAACTAAAATCTGCCGAGGATGTTCGCAGCTTCCTGGGACTCGCTTCTTACTACAAACGCTTTGTACGTGATTTTGCATCCCTGGCTGCACCTTTACACCGCTTGACGCATAAAGGACGAAAATTTTTGTGGACCACAGAATGTCAACAGGCATTTAGCACCTCGAAGTCATGTCTTGCTGCTCCACTCATACTGGCTTTTCCGGATACTTCTACTAAAGCGGGTGTTTATACTTGATACAGATGCTAGCTCATCAGCTATTGGAGCAGTCCTGTCTCAAATAGCACAAAATGGACAGGAGCGCGTTATAGCGTACGCTAGTCGCCGGCTAGATAAGAGAGAGACTAGGTATTCTACGACACGCCGAGAGATGCTGGCTTTGGTAAAATTTTTGCAACATTTTCGTCACTATCTCCTAGGATGACCCTTTCGTGTACGCACAGACCACCGTGCACTACAGTGGCTTCGTTCGTTCCGCGAACCAGAAGGTCAGGTAGCGCGCTGGCAGGAGAGGTTGCAGGAGTTTGATTTTGCTTGCGAATACCGACCTGGAAGTCGACACACAAACGCCGATTCTCTGTCTCGTATACCCTATTCTCCTAATACTATCAGTGCTGTCCTCAGCACGGCTCCTGAGATCGACTGGCTGACTCTCCAAGCAACAGACCCTGATTTACAATTCATTTATCAAAGGCAACTACATGGGAATAATAAACCATCTATGGCAGAGTTGAAGGATCATTCCTTGGCAACGCGCCGTCTTTGTGCTAGGTGGAGCAGCCTGAGATTGTATGGAGACACGTTGTTTATAGTCAGTGAATCGAAACAGCCACTGTTGGTAGTACCACGTGTACAAGTCCAGAATATTATGGAGCAGGTGCACCGAGAACTTGGACACTCGGGAAAACGGAAGACCGAACATGCGATCTGCCAGAGGTTTTGGTGGCCATCCATCCATGAAGACGTAACGGAATTCTGCAAAATTTGTAACACGTGCTATGCCATTAAGTCACCCCGACAAATGCCTCGTGCACCCTTAGTTCCAATGACGACAGAAGGTCCACATCAGCGAGTTAGCATCGATATTATGGGACCACTCACAACGTCAAAGAACGGAAACCGTTATATACTGGTTATGGTAGACTATTTTAGCAAATGGTGCGAAGCTGTTCCTATACCACAACAAGATGCCCTCACAGTCACTCGATCTTTTATTGATCATTGGGTATCTCGGTACGGCGCCCCATTCTCACTCCATTCTGACCAAGGTTCAGCTTTCGAAAGCCATCTCGTCGCTCAGGTATGCCGATTATTGGGAATTCGTAAAACACATACTACCGCATACCACCCAGAAGGTAACGGCTTAGTGGAGAGAACGAACAGGACTATCAAAACCCTCCTACAATCGTTTATCAGTAAGTCGTCGACGGAATGTTGGGATGAGGTTATACCCCAATGTCTGTTAGCTTACCGCGCGTCAGTACACGGATCCACGGGATTTTCACCTGCGACTCTAGTCTTCGGACATGAATTGCGTCTACCTGTTGAGTTACAAATACCGTTGTTACCATGTCAGACTCAAGAGCATGTATCATACATCCGTAACCTTCGCAGCCGTCTGGCGGACGCATACCACCTAGTTAAGATCAACCTACGAAATGCTAGCAAACACCAAAAGGATGTGTACGACCACAAGGCGAACGGACCCGTGTATAAATCCGGTGATCGTGTTTGGCTGCACCGCCCCATGGCCCCGCCAGAGACATGCAGCAAGTCCCACCAACCTTGGCAAGGACCTTATGAGGTTGTATTTACACGTTCCCCCACTACGGTTGTTTTACACAGCCTCCAACGGCTCCAAAACGATGTGATAACAGCACACTACAACCAATTGAAGCCTGACAGAACAACGGTGCATCTAGACACTCCATTTGTAACCCCCCCGACTGCAGTTAGCCATTATGAAGTACCACCAGAAGGAGGGGTAGCTTACCCATGTCAAGCATCAGGCACTGAGGACAGTGCCTCATGGAGAGAAGGGGTAGTGTAACGATATTAAAAATCAATACATGTGACCTTACTAATGCGAGTTTGTTTTCCTCATTGCAGGGCAACAAAAGGTAAACGTACTAGAAGAGGAGGAACAAGCCTTACACAAGCTAGACTTTCAGGACAAGGAATAAACCCATTTTGTACTAAACTTTCCCTTTTTGTACTTGAACCGTCACGGTTTTACTCTTGTGATTTGTTGCATGATTGCTCCTGTTTGCCAATAAACGCTAATAATACGTGCTACACTTACACTTTCCCCGAAGTCGTAAGGTTGTGTTATTTTCAGAATCATTTTTGTTCTTTTTCCTGTGCTTAGGAGATTTTTTTCGCGTTTTTCCCTATTGTATATTCACTTATCAATTTTAATGACATCAGATTCAGATTTGTGTAATAAGAACAGAAGGCCTACGGCCTATGTTATTCCTTTTCTAGTATGTTTCTGTGAGTATCCGGTCTTCTCTTGAAAGTGTCAATTGAAGGTGCAGACACCACTGCTTCGGACAGCAGGTTCCAAGTATTGATAACTCGGTGTGAAAACCTGTATGCCATGATTAGTTTGTTCGTTCTTGGCTTTTCTACTCGCCTGCTATGTCCTCTGAAATGTCCCGATCTAGTGGGAAGAAAAAGAGAGAATAAGTTAGGTCCAAAACCACTTCTCAGTATTCTGTACATCAAAATTAGATCTCAACTTCGTCTGTGATAGGACAGAGTAAAGAGGTCCAGCTTTTCAAACCGCTCTTTGTATGATAATCCCCGGAGTTCTGGAATTACATGGGTAGCTGCCCTCTGTAGGATATCCGAGTCACCTTTTAAACAGGGGCTTGAAGCCTGAATGCAGTTCACAAGCTTAGTTCTCACTAAGGATGTGTATACTGTGGTGAACATGGTAGTATCTAACTTAGTAAACGTCCGTTTTAAAGCTTGGAGGGTTCTAAACCTTTTAGCTGCGACCTCTCGGCAATGTGCCTTCGTCTTAAGATCATGACCTTCGAATCTCCAAAGTGCATGTAGACACACTTTGCTGCGTTGATAGGCATCAACCACCCTTTATACCAGTTAATCATATTATTTAAGTCTGCCTGAAGAGAACATGCGTCTGTCTACTACTACTCGCCAGATCTTTACATCGTCAGCGTATAATAACTTTGGGAACTGTACTATACTTGGGAGTTCATTTGCAGTATAAAAAGTAAAGGGCTTAGGACGGAACCTTGAGGTACTCTACTAAGTACTGGTCTCCAGATGGAGCACTTCGAATTTATTCTTAATTTCTGTCTACGACCTTCTAGTAAATCCTCAAGCCATTTTAAAAGAAGTCCAGCAATACCAAGGTTTTCCAACTTCAATAGTAGTCTATTAGTTAGCACCTTGTCAAAAACCTTACTGAAGTCTATGTAGACAACATCCATTGAGTTTCCGTTGTCTAGCGCCTTTATCTCAAACTCCCTTGCTATAAAGAGGTTTGTTGTACAAGATAAACCCTTTCCAAAACCATGTCGTTCTATGTCTAGCAAGTTATTGGTTTCCATAAATGCCATTATGGTCCGTTTGACTATTCTTTCCATTATTTTAACTACAACACTGGTGAGGCTTACAGGTCTGTAGTTCGGTGGAACTTGTCTTGGTCCTGTTTTATGTATGGGAGTGACGATTGCGTCCTTCCAATCCATAGGTAACACACCTTGGTCAAGTGACATATTGAATATCACAGTCAGTGGAGCCGCGATATATTGTGCAATATGTCTCGAAATTTTGGGGTGTAGTTCATCTGGTCCTCAAAAGCCCTGGTATGGCCGAGGGTGGGAAGACTCAGCCCTCTTTCAAAATTCTCTCACATGGCCATGCGTATACAGCCACTTCCAGGAAGGCTCTACTCACTGCCTTCCCATGGCGCGGGTGTTGTTTAAGAAACTGGGAACAAAAAGCAAATGTTCGCGCTTTGACCGGGTTGGCGGATATGGAGGACACACCTAGAGGAGTTGGAAAATCCTGATTACAAACCAGTGGCGCATATTGGCTCCAGAATCCTGAGGAAACAAATGGCGTGTAGTGACCTACTTTTGTCAACAGAACACGATTGGTTCGATGAAAACAATTATTATTATAACCAATTGTACCAGTGACTGTTTTACTGTGCTCGTTTGTTTAACTGTGCTAAGAACAGCCATTTTGGGCTTCCATTGTATTCCGTTGCTTTTACGCGGTTTTTGGACTACGCACGTATCTTATCTTGCCGATCGCAACTGTACTCCTTTGGCACGATCTCGGTATTCTTTCGATACCACGAGATCGCCAACAAATATATACGACTACTACAATCATTTGCCTTCTGATATTTTGGCCTATCGGAATTTTATTGGTCTATTGGCAAGTAGTCTGGTAGCGGTGTTCATAGTTCAGCTCAACTCGACACCACGCTACATTTGGTGATCCAAATTTTGGAACACGCCTCAACCTCGGTCAAATCTTTCAAAGAAGGCAATTCGGTGAGTCTATTGTTTTATCTATCCACGTCTGTCATATATTTTCATATTAATTTTTAATATACAATATATTTGACATGACGGATAACGATAAGAATAGTATTAATATAATAGACTCCGATGTACGCGTACCGAATCCTCGGCACTTTTTATTCGCGTGACGATAAATTCCACGCCTTATTCGAGAAATTCCCCAGATTAACTAAACCATTCGAGGAGATTTCATCGGTGACCAATCGTGTGGTACACCACATAGTCACCCGCGGACCACCAGTCACGGCAAGACCACGCCGACTGGCACCGGACAAATTAGCTTTCGCTAAACGTGAGTTTGACAATTTACTATCTTCTGGTATTATTCGTCCTTCTCACAGTCCTTGGGCCTCTCCTTTACATATGGTGCGCAAAAAGGATGGGGTTAGTTGGAGACCATGCGGCGACTACCGAGCATTAAACGTAGTTACGCGCCTTGATAGCTACCCCATCCCCCACATACACGACATCACGGCATCGCTCAAGGGCACGACTATCTTTTCTAAAATCGATCTGGTACGAGCATATCACCAGATCCCAGTCGCTCTTGAAGACATCGAGAAAACTGCTATCACGACTCCTTTCGGTCTGTTTGAGTTCCTACGAATGCCATTTGGATTACGGAATGCTGCTCAAACTTTCCAAAGGTTTATCGATAGCATAGTACGAGGCTTGGATTTTGTTCACGTCTATATTGATGACCTGCTGATCGCATCATCAAACGTAGATGAACATTATCAACACCTTACGCTATTATTCCAACGTCTTTCGGATAATGGAATAGTAGTCAACCCAGAGAAATGTGATTTGGGTAAATCAGAAATAATATTTCTGGGTCACATCATCAGACAAGAGGGTATTCTGCCTTGCGAGGACAAAGTTCGAGCAATCAAGGAGTACAACGTGCCGTCCTCAATCAAGGAACTGAAGGCTTTTCTCGGTTTGGTTAACTTCTACCGACGTTTTATCCCTCACGCGGCAGAACGGTTACGACCATTAACCGATTTACTACGCGGTAATCCACGCAAATTAGAATTGAACGATACCGCACGTACTGCATTCTCAGAGATCAAAACGGCTCTCGCTGAAGTTACACTTCTCGCTCATCCTGACCCATCAGCCACGCTTAGTATAGCGGTTGATGCATCGGATTTTGCCATAGGAGCCGTTATGCAACAGAATATCTCCGGTAGTTGGCAACCCCTTGAATTTTTCTCACGACGCCTTACTCCCACGGAGACGAGATATAGCGCTTTTGGTCGCGAACTGCTTGCAGCCTACTGCGCCATCAAACATTTCCGGCACGCAGTAGAAGGACGTCAATTCATCTTATTCACCGACCATAAGCCCTTAACGTATGCCCTGCATACCAAGTCTGACCGCTACTCATCACGAGAGTGCAGACATTTGGACTATATCTCACAGTTCACGACAGACCTTCGTCACATTAAAGGCGAGTCGAACTATGTTGCCGATGCTCTTTCACGTATCCAGACGAATGCAGTTACTTTACCGGTGCTCGATCTTCCTGCTATGGCCGCCGCGCAAGCAAACGATCCTGTCTGTACAGAAGCACCACAATCTTCGTCCCTTCAGTGTCAGGAAGTACCCCTAGCTACTAGCTCAGGTACTATCCTATGTGATATTTCTACCGGTCTTCCTCGACCCATCGTACCCTCTACCTATCGCCGTCTCGTCTTCGATGCCCTTCATGGATTGTCTCATCCAGGTATCGCAGCCACATTACGTCTCATCGCTGCACGATACGTCTGGCCGTCCATGAATAAAGATGTTCGTATGTGGGTAAAGCAATGCTTACAGTGTCAACGATCAAAAGTGCACAGGCACGTAGCTGCCCCCATTGGCACGTTCGCTACGCCTGATGCTCGCTTTGATCACGTTCATATAGACATTGTAGGACCATTGCCACCATCGCATGGGTATGATCACATACTCACGTGCATTGACCGTTTTACAAGATGGCCCGAAGCTATTCCCATCACGTCTATCACGGCGGAGACAGTTGCTCACCGCTTCGTAGAACGATGGATAGCATTGTACGGTTGTCCCTCGACTGTCACGACTGACCGAGGACAACAATTTGAGTCCGCATTATTCTCCTCACTGACCCGGCTGCTTGGTACGGAACGCATACGCACCACCGCCTACCATCCAGCATCGAATGGTTTAGTCGAAAGGTTTCATCGCCAACTTAAAAGTGCTCTTCGAGCACACGAAAACGACAATTGGTACGAAACCTTACCGCTCGTTCTCTTAGGCATCAGAACGAGTTTGAAGGCAGATATTCAATGTTCCGCCGCTGAACTTGTATACGGCACGACATTGCGTCTGCCTGGGGAATTCTTCACACCACGGAGCAGTAATGATTTCGGTAAATCAGACTACGTCCATCGACTGTCTGCATTTATGCGAACGCTGTCTCCGGTGTCAACTCGAATACAACATCGACAGGTCGCTCTCCCTCGAGAGTTATCTACCTGTTCACATGTTTTCATACGAGTAGATTCGGTACGCAAACCTCTACAACAGCCTTACGAAGGCCCTTTTCACGTGATCTCTCGTCACGAAAAGACCTTCAAGGTTGATCGACACGGCCGCGTCGAGATCGTCAGCATTGATCGTCTCAAACCAGCACACGTCGATGACAGTGCCCTACCCAATAACTTGAGACTCAATGCTAGACCTACCAAACCTTCTAGCGGGATCTCTACGTCTACCTCGGATCCCACGCTAGATACATCAGAGACCTCGTTCTCACGTCCCGGTCAACAGCACGCGTCATCTGCACCATCTACGGACGAGACTTCCGTCTCACGTCCAGATCGGCAGACCACGCCGCCCTTGACCTCGGATGAGATCGCAGGCTCACGAAGTACGAACGAGACTACCGTCTCACGTTCCGGTCGCCGAGTACGATTACCCGTACGCTTTCGCGACTAAACGCACAGTCAATAACATACGGTGTAGGATTATTCCTATACTACACGCATGCTACACTTTTCTTTTTTTTTGATTTTTTTTTGTATCCTGAGCCCACGCCTACGACCATCGTCCATTTGATAACGTCGACTTCAGTCAACTTTGGCGAAAGCTGGTTTGGCCACCCACGCTCTAGTCAACGTACTCAGTCGATTATCTGATCTCGAATCCGCCTGGCATATGCTTGGTAGTTATGGTCGCGTCCGGTTTCTTGGCTCAACGTGGTTTCGTCCTACGTCTGCAGCGTTTTCTGGTTCACATCCCTACGAACGCAATCATCAGATTCTGGATACAAACCACTCTGGTGTGGTATGCTAATTCGACCAACAAATTCAGCACACTTCTGGTACCGTTCTGCGCAAAAGACTTTCGTTGGCAACTCGAGGATCAATGACCACTTCCTGTTCCGCCAATTTCCTCCGTCCTACAACCGCAATTCTGCCGATCAGTCCCACGAATCAAACCGCTAACTATCGAAAGTGTAAACCCTTTCTAGCGGGGGGCTCCTGTAGTGACCTACTTTTGTCAACAGAACACGATTGGTTCGATGAAAACAATTATTATTATAACCAATTGTACCAGTGACTGTTTTACTGTGCTCGTTTGTTTAACTGTGCTAAGAACAGCCATTTTGGGCTTCCATTGTATTCCGTTGCTTTTACGCGGTTTTTGGACTACGCACGTATCTTATCTTGCCGATCGCAACTGTACTCCTTTGGCACGATCTCGGTATTCTTTCGATACCACGAGATCGCCAACAAATATATACGACTACTACAATCATTTGCCTTCTGATATTTTGGCCTATCGGAATTTTATTGGTCTATTGGCAAGTAGTCTGGTAGCGGTGTTCATAGTTCAGCTCAACTCGACACCACGCTACAGGCGTATGAACCAATCGTTGGTCACCGGCTGCCATGGGACTGCATCTTCTTACGTTGCTCGACTGCCTTGTAGATTAGACCTTTAGGTCGGATGCTCGGGGTGTGACCTGTTTCGGTCTGGGAACCCGGTCAGTATCACAGCTCACAAACAAATCAAGTGACTTGTATGGCGCATATGTATTCAGTACCCTTTTGTACCAATATTTTTGTGATCAAGTAAAGAAATAATGTATATATATACGAAATATATTCTTGGTCTTCGCCCTCATATTTTCTCAATATCGTTGCTATCTAAATTTTTCTTTTTTGTAATTCTTCTCTAGATGTATTCAGTAAACATTTGGATTGTTTTGGTATATTCTTGTTCTTTGATTATTCAAAATATTGTTGTGTCTTCATTTGATGTAAGTTTCATTTGACAATGATAATTACTAATAAATAATTTCAGATAACTTCAGATGTAATATATTGCAACAATTCAAGTTTATATCAAATATCAGTAAAGAATAAAACACATACATTATGGTATTTAATATCTGCCAGTCAACATCATCCACCTTCTTTAATATTAATATACGCTACTGAACAATCTGGAGTCAATGTGGATTGTTCCAAATTTAGTAATAATATTCCGCCAAACTATAGGAATTCGGTTTCCGTTAATAATTCTATCCAATCTTACGGATTAATATTACATAGGGTTAGATTTACTTTGGAAATTCATGTTTTATTATTCAAATTAGATAATTCGTTATCGTGATATAAATGATGAAACAATTGCTCCTGACACAGGAAATTCTACAGAAACATTTTTAGGAAGTAATTTAAACTGGAAAAATACATCATTTAAGAATGATTCAAATGATGATCAAATCAGCATCGAATTTGAAGCTAGACAGTCGTTAGATTCTCATGAGAAAATAGACGGTGTTATTAAATTGAATGTATGTTGATTTTTAGTAATTAATTTTTTCCAAAATAATTCAATATTTGGATAAGATATAATCTGTTTTATAGGTGTTATTTTCTATTTTAATCATTTACCTACAGTTTTTTGAATAATGGCTACTAGTAGAATCCATGATGTATGTTTCATCCTATTTGTGATACATCAGCATCTCAATGTTGATATTCACACTGACATTTCAATTGAAATGGTCAACGCATTATCTATTGAGCGATTGTGACTAAATAATCTCTGGTTTATGTAATTAGGATAAATTTTATTTGTAAAGGTTTCTATTTTTCTATTGTTGGTGGTTAGGACTATAATTAATGAATCTTCATTAAACTATGTTGATCAGCTGAGAAGATTCAATTGACTTTGTTATGTAGTCACTCTTTATTGAAGTTTGATAAAGATCAGTTGTAGTCTTTTACATTATTAACGCGGGAAAAAAAACAAAACCTTATAAATAGTCTGTCATTTATTTTGATTTCATATAAGTATTTAGTAATATGCTTTTTAAAACAGTCAGATTGGTAAAAAGTTAAACAAAGTTCCAGACAGATTTATTTGATGACTCAAATAGAGAACTAAAAGTACATCCTGGATTCCATTGCGATTTTTTAAATCTAATCCTAATGAACCTTGCAATCCGATCAAAATATTCTAGCCGTCAGTTTGAGATGCATATAGGTCAATGAAGACTAATCAGTTTCAGTCCTTAACATTAACAATGGCAAAATTGAAACTATTACAGTTATCATCTATACCCGTTGTACAAGTTAGTGGCTATTTGGACTGATAATCTCAGTCGGTAACACGTCAACCGTTTGAGGCGAAGAATAATGTATTTCAGTGTTTCCTTTATTTACCTTATGTCGAATTTTAATCTGAATAATAAACTTTCTCCATATTTTGTTCTATTCTCAACTCATTGTAAATTGATTATAAGCTTGGCATTCTGATTCTTCCTCTATACCCTTTACTTTTGGTATACATACTTTCTGTTTTATTGTTTTTTAGTCTATATGCCTATGTATTTGGTCATGCATTTTTCGAGAGTAACATCGAATCTCTGCCTAATTTGGAGATATAGTTTTTCTAACTACATCCGTCTTCTCTTCTGCCGACTGATCAGCATCCGTATGGTAGATAATTAATGATCCGATAGGATAGTTTCTGTCTGCAAAGCTGAATTCGTCACAATCGAACTCACTCAAGGTTACGTTAAGCAGCCTAGCTTTATTAGTCCTGAGACAAATTTTTCTACGGCTCTAAGAACAGAACCAATGGATATCAGTAACAGAAAAGTTACTATTCCTACTTAATAGTCTGGTTATCGATGGTTTTTTTCTTTTCATCTCTTCCTCAGTGCTAGATGGTTTATTCAATTGTAGTGAAAGTCGTGTATCCTTGAAGCTACCATTTCCTAACCAATACCAATTCTTCCGACTAAAATATTCTCACATTTGTTTGTTTACATTATTCATTGGGATTGTACATGGTACTAGTGTTCAGTCAAAGATTAAGAATGATATATACCTATATATGGTTTGTCTTACAGTTCTTAAATTTCAATTTTTTCATAACTCTAGCAGACATTGATTTGTGCGCATCGTTTCTCACCAAAATGAAAATTCGAAATCACCATAGAATACACAAAATTAATGAATATTCGAGCGAACAGTCACCTTCAATAACTTCATTATCAGGCTCAATAGTTTGAGTCCATAATTATTGTAGCCGGGTCGATGGATACCTAGATGAGTTGGGAAACCCTGATTCCAAACCAATGGTGCATATGGGCTCCAGGATCCTAAGGAAACGAATGGCGTATGAACCAATCTTCGGTCACTGGCTATCATAAGACTGCACCTTCTTACATTGCTCCACTGCCTCGTGGACTAGACATTTAGGTCAGAAGGTGTGGCGCATATATATTTGGTGCCCTTTTGTACCAATATTTATGTGTTCAAATAAAATAAAATAAAATAAGGTCAGAAGCTCGGGGTGTGACCCTCTAAGAAAACCACCTGTTTCAGTTTGGGCGCCCGAGCTATACAAATCGAATGATGAAATGTCAGTCAGCTGCAACGTAGGACTAGGCACGTATATGCATCGGTCCAAGTTGCCATACCGCATTAACACAACAAGATAAACACCGGATTCATAGAAGTAGTTAATTCAGTGGTGGTAATATATAGAAGAAAGAGTGTGTATAAGGAGATAGTACAGGAAGAAAGAATTAGATCCTAGAAAGAAAGATATGAAGCGATTTTAATCTCTTAGTTTAAAGGAAGACAGAGACTGTATACACCGACGCCATTGTGATCGATTCTGAGCCATGTCACCAAGAGTCTCCAACTATTGGTTACGATAGTCACGCGGACCCCTACCAGGCAGACTGAATCTACGAACATTATTTATTTATTTATTTTAACACATAGATATTGGTACGAGGAGGCACCAAATACTTATGCGCCACACAAATCTCAATTGATTTGTGTGAGGGCTGTGATACTTCTCGGGTGCCCAAACCGAAGCAGGTGGTTTTCTTAGGGGGCCACACCCCGAGCCTTCGACCTGACTGTCTGACCCACAAGGCAGTGGAGCATCCTAAGAAGATGCAGTCCCATGGTAGCCGGTGACCAACGATTGGTTCATACGCCATTTGTTCCTTCAGGATACTGGAGCCAGTCCATGTGCACCATTGGTTTGGGATCCGGTTAAAGCGCCGGACATTCGCTTTTCGTCCTCTGAATTTCGTAAGCAACACCGCCGCCACGAGAAGCCAGTGAGTAGGACTTCCCTGGCAGAGGCTATATACGCGTGGCCATGTGAGAGCATTTCGAGAGGGAGAGCAGACTCCCCCCACTCTCGGCCGTACCAGTTCAATCTACCAACATGGCTCAGACCAAAAGTTAGTGACTTCAAGCACTGATGCCACGTTTTGGTTTGGCCGCCCCTAACTTTCTTCCAACCATCTCCAACACCGCTTAGCGTTGCACGGCATGGTAATCAGTGTTCAGGCATACGCAACACGTGGCTCAACCATATCAGTCGATTAAGATTCATAACCTCATCAACTGATTTACCATCATTCCCTAATACCCTGCGTCTAACCTCACTATTACTTACCCGGTGATCCCAGCAGATGCGAGCAATATTTCTAAGGCACCTGTGGTCAAGTACTAGTAACTTACGAATATCTTCCACTCTTAAAGGCCATGTTTCGCAGCCGTATAGAAGGACGGAACGAACTGCCGCGCAGTATACTCGTCCCTTAATTGGTAGACGGATATCTCGCCTTTGCCATAGGTGACGTAAGTTGGCAAAGGTCAAACGAGCTTTTCGAATCCGTGCTGAGATTTCGTCAGACACCTACCCATTAGGTCTGATCAGACTTCCAAGATAAGTGAAGTTGTCAACGCGTTCGACTACTGCACTCCCTATCTTTAGTTCAGGTGTTGACGCAGACCAGTCCTGAAGCAACATATCTATTTGGTGCTTCCTTGTCCTAATGTTTATGTGCTTAAATAAATAATATCATAAGTGGTGGCTTGCATAAACGAATTTGACAACGTTATGTGTTAAAAATAGCGAATATTTGCATCTGTTACTACATAAATACTTCAAAATTGTGTTATTTGTAAATAATCCAGGCCATATTGATTTGTAGTAAAGTGCCAAGTCATAATCAATGTAATAGTGATATCGGTATGAATAACTCAATTAGGTGATTTACTGATCTTATGTGTACTTGGTTATTCATAACTTGGTTGCTGGATTTTGTGTACTAATTTAAATAATTACTTTGATATAGAATCGGATGTTTATCAAGAATATAGGTGTTTAATGCACGTGTTTTTTACATTGATATTCTACTGATGATATGAAGTGAAGTAGCCGAGCATGTTGACTACTTCCCTCATATCGCAAGTCTCATTAATACTGGTGGGTACTTGTCTAACGAATGCTCAGCACTGATTAAGGATGTACAGTTGGTTTTTGCTGACTCGTGTCAACAATATTATGGTTGAGATATCCGTCTTCCAATCATAGAACGGATGCACTGCACAGCAGCTCATTCTGTCCTACTTTATGATTGTGAAACATGGTCTTTAAAAACAGGGGATATTTGTTGATTACTAGTATTTGATACCTTAGAAGCATTGGTAGTTTATGCTGATACGACTCAGTAATCATTACTGAGGTTAGATGCAGAGTACCAGGTAAAGATAGCGAATCAGTTGATTTGATAGTGAATTTTCAATGACTAGGGTGGTTGGGACATATATAATGTATATCAAACTACCGCTTACTTAGACGTACAACTTTTAATCGTGTAGGAGTGGGTTGTAACAAATCCAAGTGTAGCCAAACTAGAACGAGACATCTGTTCACAAAATCACTGACTGTAAGGCTAAGCCGTAAAGACAAATGTAAATTACTCTATTGTGGTTATCACGATTACTATAAGGACTGGTTGAAGGCGTTGGGTAGTGTAGCTTAAAATCTGTTACAATATTACAGATGTATTTATTCTTTATCATCCCTAAAATTGTCTTATACAGTACTTTGTGAATTCATTTTTTCTTCTCAACTTATATGGTTGTTGTGCACAAATTTACCAGATTCTATATTGACTAACTGATTGCTTGATTTAACTAGAATTAGTTTATATTTGTGCTAATGATGTCGTTCAGGATAACTATGAAAGCTCCATAACCAAACCATCCAGTTCACACAACAAAACTCCATCAAAATATTTTGAAAAACATCAGTAACTTTCACTAAATGTACATCTTTTTTTATTCTCTCTCTTTCTCTACATCTTATCAGTTTAAAGTATACAAAACAGCGGAACCACCACATAAAGAAATGTATTATAGAATTGAGAATGCTTTGAGTATTTTCATTGAATTAATATTGGACAAAGTGGAAGTAATAAATTCAAATGATAATTTTTCACCTGTTCTATTAATTTTTTCCAATCATTCACTTATGGACGATTCATATTATTGGAATAAAACAACTATTCAAAGATCTTGTGAAGATGGTCCTTTAGGCAAAATAAAAGTATGTTAAACTAATACTTATCGTTGAGATGTATTTTTATTTTTCAATAATTTTTTATATTTATGTAAACAGTTTCATTTTAGTGAAAGATTCTTCACTAGTTCATCAGAGAACAAAATCCGATTAAAACCACTGTGTCAGCGTCTACTGGTATACATTTCCAGATTTAGTTAGCTCGCACTATGGTACAATGATCGTCCAAATTTTTTTTTTCGGTCTCGTTTTGATTCTGACAAATGATCCCTTATTTATTATTATTGAGCACAACATTGAATGAGATTATAAGCAAAGATGGATGGTGGCTAGCAGTGGATTCTAGGACGCATGTTTCGTCCTATTTTGGACTCATCAGCTGGATGTATTTGCATCCCAGAGTTGATGTTCACTCAAAGACTCGAACCCAGTACCGTTCGCTTCAAACGCCATCGCGTGATGGACTTGGCTACTGAGTCCTGATAACCACTATTTTGTGTAATGGGGTGAAGTTTTTGCATTGTTTGTTTAAATCTTCCCATTGATGTTTAGGACTGTAATTGATCAGTCACTTACTGGCATATGTGCACCCTGTGCGGATTGCTTTGATATTGTCTTCAATCACAAGCATTATAAGCAAAGATGAATGGATGAATACGATTGTTATCAATCGGTTCCTATTAGTCTTAATGCTTCAAAAAAAAATCGACAGTTGAAACTTAAAATATTTACCTTATTTCATAAATAATTATTAGTGATAGTAGATGTCTGTATATCGTGTTCTCATTCTATATCAATTACTTTATAAGTACATATTATTACTTGACCTTTGAATGATCCAACAATCGTATATGTGTTTGTGATATTCAGCAACTTCCTGGATTAAAATCTCATGAAGGGAGCAGTAGTTCTCTAAAAAGATCGCAAATGCGTACAGCTTTACTGCTGACAAATGCCAACAAACTAACTTAAGAAATTCCAATCCACGGTTCCTACTGAATGCTTTTAACTAACCACTATTACTACCAATGAACATTCAATGGCAGTGCCGAGTCAGTTAGTCAGTCAGCTTTACATAACATAAAACTTGACCACATATGTACATCAGTTTAAGTTACCACATCCCGTTAGCACAGCAAACTGTAATTGTCAGGCCTTAGCACAGAATAGTAGACGTATTAACAACAGTATTAGTGGTGATAGAAAAAAATTGTTATCAAAAATACGATTCAAGTAGAAAACATAAATTAGTACAATGAAAGAATTTTTATCAGGAATTTAGGGACTTAGTATCCAAGGTAAAACAATGATTGAATGCGTCTGCTCTGTTTCGAATGATTTTGAGTTATGTCACTTTAAGTCTGTAACCATTCGTTACGGTAATCACACGGACCCCCACCAAGTAATCTGGACTCGTCTGCTTGGCTCAGTCTAATAATCAGTATCTCCATGGACTGGTGGTTCGGGCAACCTTAGCTTTCAACATACTTCCACGCAGTGAAGTGGTGAACTCCCTCAACCGCTTCACTTTCTATCATCATTAGTTTAGACGTTAAGCCAGATCAGTCTTGAAGCAACATTTTGCATTGAGATTGTTATGTTTGAAGGGATTATGAGATCACCTAAATTCAGTGAACCGAACGAAGGGTCGGCAACACAACGACAAGACAAGCTAAACTATTCCGATGCGTCCCAACCCTGCTAACTAGAGGGAGAAGACTAGGTTCAGATGAGGGGAAGGTATGTTCCAGAAGCACGATCAAACCAAGCATATATATATATATATATATATATATATATATATATATATATATATACAGCTAGAAGATTCTGGATCTTTTTTCAGCATCTTTTCTAACTAAAATTATATCTCGACATTCTAAGTCAACAAGCGAATACTAATTGTTTGGATTCAATCAATAATATGTTTGTAGTCACTATTCAGTTATATCACTCAGCGAACATCGTTTGTAATAAGTCAACTGTAAATACTTACCAATTATAAAAAGATTAATTTACAACTGTGATAATGCTAAATTTGAGTACTATCTTAAAATTAAAAAAAAAAGTATTATATGTATTGTTATTACTTATAACCCTGTCAGTTATCACGGGACAAAATCTTCAGTCAGAATACCGATTCTTATGACCATGTCCCTGTGCTTAACCAACGATGTATCAACCACGAGCAGCCTTGAGTCAACTCTGAATCTTTATTAGTCCTCTGTACATCAGTTTCTCACCTAGTCCAGTCAGTTCAGCCCAGAACACAAATATAAGCCTCCGCTATACGAATCGTATATTTCAGATATATTCGGTTTATATACAAGCAGATCAGACCGCCTCACACCATAAAATAAAAAGCAATAATTATAGAAGATCAAGTCAGAATTGACTGTGAGTGTGAGAGATTGTAACTAATAGATTGGGATTAAATTAAGAATAGTAAATTGTGTTGCAGTAGCCAATAGATCAAATGGGAGATTATAGTAAAAGGAATACAAATATTAGTCGGTCAGTAACAACGTCGAACTTCGTACGTACGTACATCAGTTCGAGCTGCCATACCGCATCACCACACAGATACAACTGTCGATTCAAATCCCATAGTGGTAGAGGTAGTAAAAGTACAAGTAGTAATCGGAAACATTAGGCTTTTAAGATGTTACTCAAGGAGTATAATACAGTGAAATGAATTTGGAAGGAGAATAAAAAAGGATATGAAGAATTCAGAAGATTAGAAATTGGCAAAACACAAAGAGTGGATGCACCTGCTCCATTGCAAACGATTTTGAGCCATGACATTCAAGGTCTTTAACCATAGTTTGCTATCATCTCGCGGACCCCAACCAGGTAGTCTACACCTACCAACATGGTTCAGTCCACTTGTCAGTGACTTCATGGATTTGTGCCATGTTTTGGTTTGACCGCCCTAGCTTTCTTCCAACTTACTCCTACACCATAAAACATAGCACGTCGATGCAGTCGGTGATTGGGCATACATAGCACATGTCCCAGCCATCTCAACTGATGAAGCTTTACTACTTCATCAATTGATTTGCCATCCCTACCTAATACACGTTTCCTAACAACTGCACTACTTACTCGGTGGTCCCAGGATAAACGAGCAATGTTTCGAAGACACCTATGGTCGAATACTGGTAACCTACGAATATCCTCTACTCTTACCGGCCATGTTTCACTGCGATAAAGTAGGACAGAACGAACTGCTTTGAAGTAAACCCGTCCTCTGGTTGATAGACGGATATCTCGCCTACGCCACAAATGACGCAAGTTGGCAAAAGCTAGTCGAGCCTTCTGTATCCGTGCTGAGATTTCGTCACACACCAGACCACAAGGGCTGATGAGACTTCCGAGATAAGTGAAGCGGTCGACACGCTCAACTACTTCACTCCCTATCACTAGTTCGGGTGTCGATGCAACCCAATCCTGAAGCAACATTTTGCATTTCGAGGGGGAAAATGGTATCCTAACCATGCTTGTATTGTTGCTTACGGTGGTCAGAAGACTGCGTTTCGTCAGCGTCTTCACCACATAGAACTATGTGATCGGCATATTCTAAGTCAACAAGTGAATCTCCCAACAGAAGTTCAACTCCTGGAAATTTAGATGAGGAAAGTGTTATCTCTAAAAGCACGTCAATGACAAAGTTAAGCAAGAATGGAGAGGGTGGACAACCCTGACAAACACCACTTGAGGTAATCAATTCTGATGACAGTTCGCCATAAGCTTTCACTCGGCCAGTTGTGTTCGAGTAGAGAGCCCGTATAAGGTTAATTTACTTCTTTGGTACTCCTTTCAGTGACAAACACTGCCATAAAACCTCACGATCAACAGCCAAATGCCGCCTTAAGGTCGAGAAATACTACGATTGTGGTGCGTTTGAATGTGTATCTATGTTCTAGGATCTGACGTAGTGTAAATATCTGGCCTTATACAACCACGTCCAGGTCTGCTCTTCACGAGCTTTAGTTAGGCGTCGATGTATTAATGAAGCTAATATTTTAGACACTATAATCTAGCTACTTAATAAGAATATGTATAATCATAGTTCATAAATAATTCCTAGCAGTTACCATTCATTTATTCTTCGTTCGGATATAACATTTTGTTAAGATTTACTAATTTAACGCACAATCCATAAGAGATTCTTAATTTATGCTATGCGTTAATTTCACTTTGGTATAACTTTTTGTTATGTCCCGACAAGAATAACGAATGGTAACTTTTGGGATCCATTTATGGACCAATACTAAACGTATATTTTTATTGTATAATTATTGTACTTTATGCGCTTCATAATTCCCTCAATTTCGTTGTTATTACAATTACTTTCTGTTCTCTTCAATTGGATCTTCTCAATCTTCCGCTGGCATGCATTCCATTTTCGATTAGTGCCACATACTACTTACATATATCAACATAAGTAGCATATACCACTTACTTAGTTTTATGTTACATATCAAATATTTTGTGTTAGTAATACTTACAAACTGGTGTCTCAAATACTAATAGTAATATGAGAGAATGGTGTTTGTGAATATGTCATTTAGTGATTGAAAGTTGAATATCTTTAACCATTGAACGGTTGTTCCACTTTTCCATGTAAGTATTCTTATCAAAGAATATAATTAGATGACTATTAATACTATGTAGAGTTCTCTTTCACTTTGATTCATAGTATTTATCATTACAAAAGGGTATAAATTAACTCAAGATTAAAAGATCCTCCGAATTATCATCTTGTGAATTAAATTCTAGACGTTGCTAAGGTCTACCTGTTAATAAAAATGTACCTACCCACTTCTATACTTATATACAGGTACAATCTACTTTTTATATGACTATATTAAAAATAACAATTCTCATATCACTTTACCACAAAATACTACCTAAAGACACAAGCTTCACGATGTACTTTCAACATACAATTCGAAGTTAAAAATGATTTCATGGAAATTAGTATTTTGGATAGCTTGTTGACGGATTACCTCTTGTTTATCTATTATCTCTTGAGACACTAATCAATATCGCGTGCTGCATTCAGTAATATGAATTCCAACTATAATTTTTCTATCCAGCGTCTACTATAGTCTAACATTTTAGGCTTGACCAACTATACGTTCTAAACTGGAGTGTTGTTAACCTTAAGTCAACATAAACTACAATTCTATTGGCTTGTAGCAAGCCCATTCCATTAATGTATTATTTGTCTACACAACTGTGTTAATTTCCATATGAGTATGATTGAGCGCGTGTCTGCACTTCTATCCCTATTCTATTCCCCATTGGTTGTGACACATAGATAATCAATAATTTATCTACACTTGATTGATACTCAAAAATATATATGAATCTTTTAACACAGACACACACACTTTGATTTTTGTCCCACTCGGTGCTTGCTTGCTGTATGCTTGCGGATTTTACCAGGCTTTCACAATAAACTATCTCTATAACTGATTTTTGGGCTTTTTAATGATCTCGAGTAAAATCGATAATTCTACTAGGAGATTAAGCCTGTATTAAATACTCGGTTAATGAGATATCTTTATTTGGAGTCGAATATAGAGGAAATTTATCTCAACAAACTTGGTTAACCTCTACAAATTGGTGAGCCGAATTTAGAACACGCGCCTGTTCCTCTACAAAGTCTGCTGCTATTCTCCAATCATAAAGAACTTCATATTGGAATTACTATTGCAATTATTAACAATACATTGACAGTCAGTTAATTCATCTATAACATTGTTGCTTTGGAATTATTACTTTATATTTGCCTATTTAAACTCAAAGTGACCTTTGTTTTCGGTGAGTCTCATATATATTTCTTGTTGTTATTTTCGACTTATTCATATCATATATTTCAATCCTCAGCTTATTATTATTGCTATTGTTATTATTTCTTCGTATCATGTCACTTGATAATTCACCAAGCCTTTCATCTAAGTCTATTTCCGTGGGTGCCATCTCTGTACCTTTACCTGTCTTTAATCCCCGAAAGGCCGAACTGTGGTTTGCACGCTTAGAAAGCTTTTTTGTTGCAAACAGAATCACAAATCAGAACACAAAATTTAGTTATGCAAACTCATTGCTGCCAGACGATGTTATAGAACAAGTGTCTGACGTCATTTTTAAACCGGATCCAGACTCACCATACGATTGTCTAAAAAGAGAGGTCATTCGTGTTACATCTCTTACCGACCAGCAAACAATTGATCAACTTTTAGCTAATGTAGAGCTAGGTGACAGTACACCATCTCAATTGAAACGCCACATGACAAATTCATTGGGGAATCGTACAGTAGATAAACGTCTATTGTATCCATTGTGGCTCAGACGTCTCCCACAAAACATCCAACAGATACTAGCGATCGGAGACGAGGATATAGATTTTGATAAGCTAGCAGATATAGCCGATAGAATTTACGAGCGAACTAGGACGCACTCCGTATCTCACATACAATCAAACTCATCTGACGAGATCGCCGAGTTGCGACGAACAGTCGAAGTCCTCGCTAATCAGATAGCTCAGCTCCAATTTTTGAATACCTCCCACAGCAAGCGGAAAGGAAGGTCCAGAAGCCGTAAAAGTCGTAGTCCAAGCACCACTCGACATAACATTTGTTGGTACCATAAAACGTACGGTAAGCAAGCTAAAAAATGTACTCCCTGTAATTTCGCAAGCACACAACAAAGAGACCATCATGAACGTCGGTTAATGACGACTGCAGTCGCTGAACACAACTCTCAAAGCAGTCGCTTGTTATATGTTACAGACAAAAGGACTGGAACACAGTTCTTAGTCGACACTGGGGCAGAGGTTAGTGTAGTACCACCCACTACACTTGAGAAAAATACACCTGACCCCAAACTAAAACTACAAGCCGCAAACAGATCTGAGATCAAGACGTACGGCAAAAGGCAGTTACAATTAAATTTCGGTCCTAAATCCAATTTTTCATGGAACTTCATCATAGCTGACGTCCTCATTCCTATAATCGGCATTGATTTTTTACAATCCCATAAAATACTCGTAGATGTAAGAAATCGGAAACTTGTCCTTGCTGACCATAGCAGCGAAATTAGAGGGATTATTTCTAACGAGACGTCCATACATTTATTGATCAAACCTCATCGCGAGAATGACAAGTACGTTAGTTTACTTAATCAGTTTCCAGACTTATTACGACCGAATTTCAAACGGGATAAACTGACACATACCGTCGTACATCATATAAAGACAGAGGGTCCACCAGTGTTCGCACGTCCAAGACGCCTTGACCCCTCTCGTTTGGCTCTAGCAAAGAACGAATTCAACAAAATGATAGAGTTGGGTATCATACGCCCCTCCGATAGTCCGTGGGCATCACCGCTCCATTTGGTACCCAAGAAAAACTCTTCCGAAGTTAGACCGTGCGGTGACTATAGAGCTCTGAACAGCCGTACTATACCAGACAGATATCCACTTCCACATTTGCATGACTTCACTCATAGTCTATCTGATGTGACGATTTTTTCAAAAGTTGATCTCGTCCGTGCTTACCATCACATTCCAATTCACCCGGACGACGTTCCCAAAACAGCCATTACTACCCCATTTGGATTAAACGAATTTGTTCGCATGCCTTTCGGATTAAGGAATGCTGCACAAAGTTTCCAGCGTTTTATCGACCAAGTAGTACGTGGCTTACCTTTCGTATATGCTTACATAGATGACCTTCTTATCGCAAGCAAAAATAAAAATGAACATCTAACTCATCTGAAAATGCTTTTTGAGAAGCTAAACGAGTATGGGTTAACAGTCAACCCTGACAAATGTGAGTTCGGAAAACAATCCCTCACCTTTTTAGGTCACGTAATTGATAGTCAAGGCATCAAACCAGTTCCTGAGGAAACACAAGCCATCAAAAATTATCCTTTACCTGATTCATTCAAGAAACTACGACGTTTCCTTGGGATGATCAACTTTTACAGACGTTTTATTCCGAAATGTGCAGACATAGCAAAACCGCTAACTGATTTATTAAAGGGACGAGCTAAATCATTAACAATGACACCGCAAGCAATTCAAGCATTTGAACAGTTAAAAAGCACATTAAGCACTGAGGCATTACTAGTACGTCGAAAGGTTGATGCACCTTTAGCAGTAATGACCGATGCCTCTAATGTAGCAGTAAGCGCTGTGCTTCAACAACATGTCGATCAACAATGGCAACCCCTTGCATTTTTCTCAAAAAAGCTAAACGCAACGCAAACAAAATATAGCACATTCGGTAGAGAATTGTTAGCTGTCTACCTAGCCATCAAACACTTTCGGTATATGTTAGAAGGCAATTCTTTTACGATATGTACGGATCATAAACCTCTAACTAAGTCCTTGATGCACAATCATGATAAATACAGTCCGCGCGAAATTCGTCAACTAGAATTCATTTCGCAATTTGCAGCTGATATACGATACATAAAAGGCAATGCAAATGAGGCAGCAGATGCACTATCGAGATTAAGTATCAATACCTTCTCGATCCCTGATATAAACTATCAAGACATAGCAAATATTCAAAGGCTCACTGCTGTTAGCATCAACAGAGTAAAACCACCGTTTTTAAAGTATACTGAAAAAAAACAACCATAAACCGGTCTAAACCTGCATCAGAGCAAGCACCATACAGACTAACCGCAACAAACATTACTTCACTCCCAAATACGCCAACAACAGAAACCACAACAAGATCAGGAAGAAAAGTACACTGGCCAGATAGGTATGTAGCAACCACCATATTTATCTAGCTAGACCAAGTCCTGAGATTGCTCTTATAACACAAAAATGCTTCTTTATTTTCATTACTATTTTTTATTGGCCCCACGGATCTTCATTATGCTTACATTTTAACTTTATGAAATTCGTTGATGTTAAATATACATTTATACATACATGATACAAAGCGTTTCAACACACAAGCTGTTATGACAACTTAACGCTTACTCATCATCATATCAAATTGTACATTTATTTTAAAGACAATTTTGTTTTTTATCTCTTTGTCGAACATAGATGTTAATAAAATTTTTTTTGTAAATAAAAACATCAATGTTCTGGATGGGAGCTTATGTAGCAAGCCCATTCCATTAATGTATTATTTGTCTACACAACTGTGTTAATTTCCATATGAGTATGATTGAGCGTGTGTCTGCACTTCTATCCCTATTCTATTCCCCATTGGTTGTGACACATAGATAATCAATAATTTATCTACACTTGATTGATACTCAAAAATATATATGAATCTTTTAACACAGACACACACACTTTGATTTTTGTCCCACTCGGTGCTTGCTTGCTGTATGCTTGCGGATTTTACCAGGCTTTCACAATAAACTATCTCTATAACTGAATTTTGGGCTTTTTAATGATCTCGAGTAAAATCGATAATTCTACTAGGAGATTAAGCCTGTATTAAATACTCGGTTAATGAGATATCTTTATTTGGAGTCGAATATAGAGGAAATTTATCTCAACAAACTTGGTTAACCTCTACAGGCTCTCCCTGAAAAGAAGTCATCAATCAACCTTCTACTATTATTATATTTTAATTAACAACTAGTTCAATCAGCCAGCACAACTAACAACTATCTCAAACACTTACTTCGTATACACAAATTATTAGATTGGTACAGTACATCAAATAAGGTATCACATTTTAAACATTATAATATCATAACTGATAGAGAACAAAACCAATAGTACGTGATTGATTAACAATAATTAGGGAATATAGTATGGTAACAGTTGATAAGTCTACTAGTAGTAGAAGAATATGACAATAAGTACAATACAATCCATCTATTAATTAATTAATTAATTTTCTTTCATAATATATTTCTCAGTCACCATTTATCCAATTAGGATTGGAAGTATCAAAAGATAATAAATTAATTCAATCTACACGGCCTAATGCTTACTTACAATTTCCTGCAGCTTATTGGATCGATCGTCAAAATACTCATGCTCAATTAGTACGACTTGGTCTCGCACGCCCAATTGATCATCGTTATGTTAAGCAAAAATCATATCATTTCAGTTTACCATACGCTTTGTACGGTGATCGATTTAATCAAATTCATAGTCAGTCAACTGAAAATCAAGTTGCTGTACGTGAATTAATTATCAATTTAGGCAGTCCTCATTCGAAACATTACTATGCTGACACAAATTATTCATCATGGTAAGCTTATTTATTATTTGATTATTGCTCCATTATATATATATTGCGGTCATTGTAGAAGGGATTTTTGAGTTAAAACATGCTACTTAGTTACTCGTTCGCAAAGAATGTGAAAACTTCAGCTGAATAATCTGCATCTACCTTTACTGCTCAGTTTAACAGTCAGTGATTACGTGCGGTGATGTCTCGTCTCGGTTTCAACGCCCTTAGATTTCTTACAACTTAGTCGTACATCACCTAACATCGTTCATCGAGATAAGCGGTAGCTGAATATACATAACACTTATTCTAACTACCTTGACTGATGAAAATTCATCACCTCATCAGCTTACCATCTTTACCTAGTACCATGTACCTAAATTCATCATTGATGATTCGGTGGTTTAAACAAATGCGACCAGTGGTTCGAAGACATCTGTATTTAAATACTAGTAACCTAGGGATATCCTCGCTTTCCAAACACAACGTTTCACGGTCATAAAATAAAAAAAAACGAACTGATGTATACTATTATCGAGGACTAAAAGAGAATGGAGATTTTATATCCAGTGTTCAATGAAGTTAGCTAGAGTTATTACCTCTGTTCATCAAATGTATCAAGTACATTAATCCTTTGATTAAAAGATGGACATCTAGACTATAACACAGCTGACGCGAATAGGCAAAATGTAACCAGGCTTTGTGATTATATACTCAGATTCCATGAGACACCAACGCAGCAGGGATAATGAAACTTCCATGATAAGTAAATTGGTCGATGCGTTTAACTGGTACACTTTTTTTCGTTAATTTATTCGTTGGCTCAGACTAGTTCGTAAGTAACAGTTTGTATTTAAGGTTTAAGTACCCCACTCCAAACGTGCTTGCATTGTTGAGCAAGGTGGCTAAAAGACTGAATTTTATTAGAGTATTTGTCTAGCAGGACTATGCTATCTATATTTTCTAAATTGAATGATGACATCTCACTGCAATTTATCAACGCTTGGATAATTGAATAACGAAAGCTGCAAAAGAATGTATATGACCGAGTTAAATGAAACAAACAAATATGTTACTCACATAATTAGAAATGTGAGTAGCTTTAGAATTGGCATTGCGTATTAGACCCATTCGATTGTACTGAATGTAATATTCACTTAAAGTATACAAGTGTAATTACTTTGGGATTGATTTTATTTACCGATTGAATGATATTACACTACGTTGTCGTTTACTGAATCGTGCTATGAAAAAGGTGATTTTTCGTGTCTGGAGACGTATTAGCCTTAATTTCAGATAGTTTGTCAGCCAATAGTAGACTTACAATCTGGTAGAAATATACAGTGGATTAAGTTGCCATTTCATGTCAACACGACTAGATAAGTTTAACAACATGAATAGCAAAGTAATCGAAGATATATAAATAAGGAAGACAAAATGATAACGTACATGTAGACGAATACTAGAAAGCATGATCTAGAATAAGACAATATATGTATTTGGATCATTGTGATCACTTCTATGCCATATCACCGAATATCCTCAACTAATGATCACGATAGTCGTTCGGAAACCAACCAGATAGTTTGCATTTAAAGTCATAACTTATATCAACAGTTGTTGACTTCATGATCTGGTGTCAAGTTTTAGTTTGGCTACCCTCAAGCTTTCTTCCAAAGTACTCTTACACCGACAAACATCAAGCACTAAGATAGACTATAGTTATGCTTACACACTACAAGTTCCAGTCACTTCAGTTATGAATAAAAATATTATACTATCCCATAAACCGACTTATCACATTTACCTAGTATATTTCTTTTAATCTAGAAAAAAATGCCTATCCGATTTTTCTATGATAAGCGACCACTCATTATCGAACCATTCAATATACATCTTTTACTTTCTTAGATCATGTTTCATAATCAACATACTGTTCAGCGAAGTATACTTATCCTTTAGTTAACAATTTTAATATCTCGTCTACAGTAAGTTTAATCAATAAAAAAATATTATCTCGCTACGCTAAGAAAACCCTTTTTCTTTTTCCATTTTTTGTCTTATGCTCTTTAGTTTTATTTCGTTTTTTCCTTCCTTCATTTTTTCCTCATGACGTCGTATAGGATTCTGATTGCCGGCTTAGGTGATCCTGATATCATTCCACCAAATGATGACGATGATGACAAAAATAATAGCAATAAAAATTCAATTATATCAGCGTTTATTTGTGGATTACTGGTTATTGTTGGCGCAATTAGTAGTGTTTCTGTAATACGTCGAATACAACGTAGACATTATCAGAGAATATCTGAATTAAATAGCAGTGGTAATAATAATAATAATAGTAATAATGAAGCTGTTAATAGTTATTCACCAATAATGGCGCAAGATCTATCGCCAGTGAATGACAATCGTATAGTTGAATCATATCAATATGAAAAATTAGTTAGTCAACCAAATCATAAACTAATGAGAAATAATTATCATACTATAACTAATGAAAATAATTATTTACAAAATAACAATATATCTACTGTCGATTGGGGTAATGCTCCACCTCCATATGGACATGTTACAAACGATTATTAAAAATTCAATGATTAAATTGTACACTACTACTATGAATACTACTACTAGTACTACTACTACTACTAAAAACTGTTCATCAAATAGACGTTATTGTACTTTGACATGATTACTTTTTTGATGAATAAAACAAAATTCTTCTATTTATTTACTATTTTAAACAATCCGAGCATCATCATCATCTCCATCCTGTTGGTATTTTTTTGGTATCATATTCATTCCCGGTATCTTCTGATTATTATTATTATTATTATTATTATTATTATTATTATTATTATTATTATTATTTTCATTACGAACACATGTATTGTCCGGTCTAATCAAACATTTTAGATAATTTAATTCTTCAATTATATAATTATTAAAATAATTTTTTTTTCAAATTTGTATTTATTTACTGATTTATTAAGATCCTCATATAATTCTTTATTGTAGTTTTCAGGAGTCAAGGAATAACTAAAACACTTTCACCATCCAATGGAAGTTATCAGAAAACTAAAAAAAAATCGATAATTTACATATCAGGTTGATTTAGATGGTTATCTACTCTGGTTAGTTTCCCCTTCCGACGAAACAAGTTGGTGAAGCTTAGTAGTCCCTTCTGGAGAGAAACAGGCCATATCGAAGCACGGCACAATTACTGTGGCTAAAATAGCTGTTTTTGCGACCAGTTGGAGTTTGCCCCATGAGGAGCAACCCTCGTACACCACTTTTGTCAATTTTTTGTCGTTTTCCCATCCAAGAGTAATTGCGCTGCGTTTCTTTGTGGATTTCGTAATCGGTTTGAGGGTATCGGTCGAGTGAGTGATTAGCCCGATCTCTACCATGCGGGTTACCGCTCACTTTAGTTCATGGATCATCCGTCCCACTATCCGAGAGGCACGGCGCGGACGTGTAAGTCGGATTTCGCCTCCCATCTACTCTGGTACTAAATTTGATACTATCCCAGAAGTCTATGTTTATTGGTTAGGTGTAATACTAAAATGACGTACGTTTTTCTATGAACAAACTGATCTTAGCGTAAAGCTTTTATTCTCTTTAGTGCTCCAGTTGACGTGTAAAAGTAGTTTGGGTTATAGGAACCGGTTAGGAAGACAGTTTAAGTGTGTCGGTACCAAGACTTATTAACATGTCTGTCTTTTTTATGAATATTCTGACAAGTGGGTAGAAGATAGGGATTAGTTAAAGTATATATTGAACATTTTATACTTCAAGTGAATTTCGCGGAATACGCAGTATTAAAAATTGTTCGAAATCTGTTCTTACGAACAATTGTGGTGAAATGTAGAAAATAGGTTAGTAATTGATCATCTATTGAATAGTGATGCATGTCATGTGTATTTAGTCCTTTAATGCAGACCGAACTCTCGACCAAATTACAATATGGTCAGTAGTCTAAGTGTATCACGTGCACTAAGTTGTGTTGTCAGATCGTTGAAAGTAATCGGCAGAAAATCCTGCACCCATGTTTAGAATCTCACCGGAAATGCCAGTTCCTTCAGGAATACAGGGATGCCTTGGTGACATGTTCCAACTAGCAAGAAATCTCGATTCAGTATTTTTTACTTTCTCCAACTACTTATCAGAATAGACATCAGATTGTACTGTACACTGAAAATGCTCATCTGAATTTTAATTCCAAGAATAATATTTGTTACGTTGTCTGTGTATTGTTTGACAAAAATTTGCTATTATACGCATTAGAGTATTCTGTTATCATATGATTGTTTATTGTGGTTTGAATTCGAAAGTATTCTCAGTAGTATGTGATTGGTAATACTGCTAACTGTGTACATAAATCTTGTCATGTATGTTTAACTAATTTCAAAGCTATGAAATAATAGTGAACCTCTGTTATCAGCACTGGAGCTTTTCTGTTGCTTTAACGTGCGTTTGTATTAAAATTTACGGGAATTAAGTTAAAGTCTGTCAGTAAAGATTTAATTTTTAGATTAGGTAAAAATAAAATGCTTGTAATTTAGTTCAAGAGGTTTTGTGGAGATTCGTCGACAACTTAGCTTGGAGGTCTGACTATCCCTAATGGGTTGTTGTTTGACGAGATCTCTGCACGGATTCAAAAGGCTCGTTTGGATTTTGCCAACTTACGTCACCTATGGTGACGGTGAGATGTCCGTCTATCAATTAAGGTGTGAATATAATGCGCATCAGTTCGTTCTGTTTTGCTATACGGCTGAGAACCGTGGCCATTAAGGGTAGAGGATACTCATAAGTTACAAGTATTTAGTCACAGATGTCTTAGAAATATTGCTGGCGTCTGCTGGGATTACCGGGTAAGTAATAGTGGGTCACGTATTACGCATGCCCAACCACCGATTACCACGACGTGCAATGCTGACTAGTGTTGAAGACGGATGTAAGAAAGTTACGGGCAGACAAATCAAAAGGTGTTATCAGTCCATAAAGTTACTATCATCTGTTAGGAGTTTGCGAAATTTTAAATGTCTATTCACAACCATATTCACAATGATCTCAAAAGGTTCAGCACACGCCCTTCTAACTGCTACTGCCTACAACACTATCTGAAACATAGTAAGATCTTTTCGCGAAAAACTCAGGAGTGAATAGTAAGTAATATGCAGTTTACAAATGGTAAAATTAAATATCGACTAAACCAGCAAAGCATGTAACGTCTTTATATATTAAGTCAAATGGAAAACTTTCTTCCATCTAAATAAAACATGAGAAAGCCATGAGTGATCAGAGGAAAAGCTTATACCAAAATAAATTACCACAGATGCTTTTTTTCATTACGGAATATGAATAGTAATAATGAAACCTGCTAGTTAATGTGCATTCTTCTTTACGTTATTCTGCTAATTAGCTGTTTGATGTCCAGTTATCGGCGAGACTAATTTGTGGACGACCTTTGAACGAATTTTAAGTGAACATGAGAAATATTAGCCAATCAGCAAATAGTAAGCATAGAGTAAAAATATATTATACAAAACCAAGGAAATAAAGTGGATACACTTCTTATACGTGGTCCAAAAACTTGTCAAGTTTAGAAAGAGGCTCTATAATCGTAATGCATACAGTAGAGGAAATCATCCATATGGCTACAGAATAGTCGGCATTCGGAGCCATGATAAAGTCTCAAAAACTCTCAGCCTCGGCCACATAGTTTCAGCATTGTTTGTGTGCACTTCGGTTGTTGAGTACACAAAATGCCACTTGTGGATAACGACACCATGCACATAACCAAGCCTTTGTAGGAGTCCGTAAGCTCTCCAAACATCCGTATATATTGTAGTACCTAGCTTCAACCAGTGTTACTGGTGCTTTTATTATCCAGTTCGCGATAATTGTCGTAATTTGCCCTAGTTAGAAATTATATATAGGGTTTTCATCACGAACTGACATCAGCTATAATGCCAGAAATTTATATAGCCAAAATCCGAGATCTGTTATCTTATACCTGATTGGTTTGTCCATAAATTATAGTCTCACGTTTTATTTGTTATAGCCGCTCAATTATCATGTTTTTTACAAAATTCCTTATGAATCCATAGTACGTTAGCATTAAGAACTGAAGTTAGCTCCGTAATCTTGAAATATCTAAAACGCTTCTGATTGGCTCGTCCATAAATTAGTCTCGCCGAAATTTATGAAAAGTAATAGATTGTCTATCTATTCATATTTCTATATTAATGTCGATTAACTGGATGGATTTCGAAACTTGGCATTTTATACCAATTAGATGGTTAATAGTAATCATTGCTGAAAGCATGTCACTGTTTTTAGTTACGTTTTCTTTAAAATATGTTTAATATACTTAACTTAAACATGTCGTTTTATCTACAATTTTTATGAAGATATATCGGAATATACTTCTAAATTTTATTTGTTATCAAAGCATACCTTAGAAGGAGATCTGCAAAATATAACGTGACCAGTTTCTTGTTAAGTTCATTAAAATAGTATACTTAACATAAGTCATTTTAAAGTGTTGTTATACATAAGGCACATATTTAGTTGATCCATTTAGATGCCTATGAAGATATGGGGGAATGCAAAGATCATTTCATGATGTCAATGAAAACAACCCTTAATATTTGTTGAATTCATTTGTTAGCAAATTGGAATATAAGGGAAACAACAAAACATTCTATACAAAAAGTGGTAGATTATCACTGGATTTTAGGAACGTTGCTGTAATTGTTGGACACATTAGTTATCGTGTGGTGTATGCTACATATGTTGACAGATATAAGTAGTATATAACATCAATCAACAGTTAAATAGCTAACAGTAGAAGACTAAGAAGATCGAATTTTTAAAAAAAACGAAAAGGGAATAGAAAGGTATTGTGGATTGGAAGAATCAAACAGAACGTGAAGGACAGTTGATGGAAGATCTGTAAATGAAGTTTTTCATGTATGGTTCTCATGTTTTGCGAAGATATTCTGTAATTTTGTATATTTTTATCGTATAATTGTTAAGTAACTAAACTATTCATATTCGTGTCCTTCTTTTTATGGGCTATATTTTGACCTATGAACGATTATTATACGATTTACCATTCTTGAATCATGCCCTGTCTATTAGTCACTATCTCCCACATTCACAGTCACATTTGGCTAAATCTTGTATGAAATTTCGTTTCCTATTTTATGGTATGATGTGGTCTGTTTGGTTGGTGTATAAACCCAGTATGTTTGAAATCAATGATTCATATTGCAGAGACTGAGATTGGTGTTCTGTACTTAATAGGTGGAGCTAGGCGGGAGGCATTACCGATAAGATTCTAGACTACTCGTATAGGTTTTATGCGTCATTGGTCCGATCGATAATTCACTGTTCTCTAATGGGCGTTATCATTGCTTTATACATTGATAAGGACGCAGCGCACAAGTTGTAACAGGTTGTTCTCATCTGTGTTCTCATCCATTACAATTGCACTCTTTCCTATTATCCCGTACATCTATTTTTTGAGATGAGAAATTCTTAGCAGGCTGACGTAGAAGTACGATCTTCTTGATTATTTTGCACTAAATTATGAACAGTTATGAATTCTTATCTGTGTACACATATGTGTTTGTAAGTATATCTATATATAAACCTTGTTTCACTAATGCTAGACACTGAATTTTTGTTTCAGAACTTATGTGATACATATGTCTATACATAACTTCCGTTTAACTACTACGTGTGCTTATTCATTCATTCATTATTGATCCTATTTGTTTGATTATTTAGCTTGATTGAAATAATCATTGTCTAATAACACTTCTTGTAGTGAATTGATTGTTATTACATCGGAAACAAAGGTAGTTGTGTTTAAGGTATTTAATTCCAATTAGCAATACGAGGTTAGTTTGGATAGGTCGGTAGTACGATACTCACAGCCAAGTATTAAAGACTAATCAGTTGGCTTTCTTAACTGAATGACAATAAGATTAAGTATAGTCTGAAGGAATTAATGAAGATTGTCATCATAGTTTAAATCACGAATTTATCTTAACTAGACCACTATGAAAAACCTGAAAATACTAGACGACCGTTTCGTTCTGGTACGTGGCTCCTCAGCAATGAACAAATACAGTCTCCATATACTGCCATGGACACACTGGTCATTTTCTTTATTAAAAATTATAGTATGATTGAAAGGTTTTTAAAATGTAGAATTTATAATGGAATATCTTCAGGGTAATTCCTATGCTTCGTACATCACTCCCACTGATAACCGTTATTAGAAAACTTCCCAACTGTGTTTAGATTTCAGAAGACAGTACAAAGCGATGACTACAGTTTATTACTGTACGGTTCAGGATTTAGGAAGCATACAAATTTAAGCAACTAAATGAGTCGTCTAGCGATTTAGGTAACTAACATTTGGGCTAGTAACAGAAATATATTTGTACGTTGTAACACATGACTAACCCTACATGGTCATAGAACTGTTTTGTCTTGAGAATCGCTGCTACTTTTTGTATGTGGTCGTCGCTGATTGTTGTGTCGGAAACGCTGACCATTTATGCTAGGAACGAAGGGACCACCACAATTCCCATGACGCGAAAGTAAGAACACAAGACTGGTATAAGCGAAGTTTTATTAGCCCAAAACACTATGATGACGACGACGACCTTAGTCGAAAATACACTCATTTATATATTGATTGTACACCCATTTTAATTATTAATTAGAATAAAATCACATACATGAAAAATACTCACAGTAATTATAAATCACATATAGAGTATACTTCATAGTCAATGGAATAAAAGAATATTGTATATTATACAGAATAAAATAACATACGAGAAAAGAAAACCGAATACTACTGTGGTGGTCGGTGTTCGATATATTCCTTAAACTCCGTATACAGTTCGTCTCGGTAACCGTCACCAAATAATGCTCCAACGGTATATTAATCAGAAGGCGAATACGAAGCGTTAATTACGTTTATTAAGAGACCACACACAGATATCCAAAATTACAGATGCGTTAAGCAAGCATGAAATAGTTATGCCGAAAGGCAAACAGGCAAGCGAGCGGGCGAGAGAGAGCAAGGGCAAGAGCGAGCGAGCGAGTCATGAATATGAATAACATGGACATACATATACATAGTGAAATTAATGAATCATCGAGTCAATTAAGCGGTTAATAGTAAAGCTAGTAGCGTGAATAAATGCGTAGGCAGTAAGGCTTGCCGAGCATACATATTCATACAAGGATAAC